TGAAAAATACAGTGCAATATAATGCCACTTCTTTTAAAATAGCCTATCATTCATAATTTCTCAAAGTCTAACTGGCCTTTCCCCAACTGGTCCAAATTGAATTTTCCTGCCTGCTGTCACACGGGGAGCTGAGGATGAATCACCTCTCAAGACTGTGCACAAACACCTCTGCGGCACTCTCAGAGGGCAACTAGCTACTGCGCTATTTCTTTTAGAAACTGTAATTCCCAAATCTGAAAACTATTTGAGAAAGTACTAAAAAAAAAAAACCGGCTATGTCTGCTCTGCTTCTCTCTCTGCGTCATCACTGCGCAGGGAAAAGAACAATTTCAGCTCCTTTTGGGAATACAGATGTGCCCTGACCTACCTTCCCTCCCTGACTGCCCTGAGCTATCTTGGAAATTGGGTCTGCGCTGGGGCCTGCATGTCCTCAAAAGCCTGAGCGAACCGCCTGGCCGCAGAGGACGGAGGGGTTTGGCTTTTACTTTTCCAGCCTTTTCCCTCAGGCCTGCCCCCCTCCCCTGTGCACCCCCTCCCACACGGACACACCTGCACACGCACCTGCGCATGCACCTGCAAGCGCACACACGCACTCACACACTCACACTCTGATGCAGTCCACGGTGCAGTCTGCAACCACCTCCAACCCCGGGAAAGCACCAGCGTGAGTCACTCCACCCAGAGGGGGAGCCAGACTTCCCAGGCGACACTGGAGCTGCTTTCCCTGAATGCCGCAAACCAGGAGCACAGACCCTTGGGATCGCAGGACCCGGTGCAGGAAGAGGCCTGGCAGTGCCGGACGCCCCGGTCAGTGCATAAACCCTCTGCAGCCTCTGCCCAGCCCGTGTCAGCAACTCTGACAACCTCTCGTTTGGTTCATTCTCCTCCAGAATCTACGCCTTCCTGGCCCTTCTGAATGGGAGGTGTGAAGGGGGAGGGCACGGAAGCAGGCTAAGACTCATCCTCCCTCTCTTTAGGAATTCTCCCAGTTGACATATGGATCGAACCATATGGAATTGCTGTTATTCTCAAAAATGCCGAGATCCTTTTGTAGTTTATAAGTGTGACGATTGGGTTTTCACGCTCATGTGTGAGATGTGCCTCCCTTAAACCTTGTTACGATGTTGGCACATTACCCATCTGACGTGGAAAAAAATGATTCCAAATGTTGGCATTCACATAATTCAATCTAAACCATAGAAAGAACCGATAGTCAAAGTATTGCTTTTATGAATGACTTGGGAGATGCCCAGCGATGTTGCCAAGACAAGGCTTTCTGGGGAAAACTGGATTAGAAAACGTGTATGACTGGGGCCACGGGGTGCCCAGGTTAAACACTATTTCTGGCTGTGTCTACAAGGGTGTTTCTGGATGAGATCAGCTTCTGAATCAATAGACTCAAAGAAGAAAGATAGCCCTCCCCAATGCAGTGCTCCTCATCCAATTTGTTGAGGGCCTGAATAGAACAAAAAGCAGGAGAAGGAGGAGAAATTTGCTCTCCCCCTTTTTTTCTGTCTCAATGCCTGAGCTAAGTTATCTCATCTCATCTTCTGCCCTCAGTCTGAGATTCACACCTTCAGCTCCCCTGGCTGTCAGGCCCTTGGACTTCAGGCTGAATTATACCATGGGGTTCCCAAGTCTCCAACTCGCAGACAGCAGATCGTGGGACTCCTCAGCCTCTATAATCACGTGAGCCAATTCTTCCTATCAAATCTCCTTTTAGGCAGATAGATAGATGGATAGGTGGTTGGTTGGACAGATGCACACAGACAGAGAGAGAATGAGATAGGAGTAGGAAGAGAACTCTCTCCTAGAGGTTGTTTCTTTGGAGAACTATAACTAATACGGTGGATTCTGCAAAACAGCACCCTGGCATTTTGCTTTCCCAGACTACTTGTGGCCCCCCAAGGGAATAAGTGGTACCCAAACTTCCCATGGTGCTGGTGCCGAGAGGAGACGCAGAGGCAGCTGAACTGAAAGGAGCATGGGGCCTGCCACAGGGAGGGGAGCAACAGCCAACAGCAGAGGGACAGTGGACATTAATGCAGAAACCCAGGGCTCTCAGAGCACCAGCAGGTGCAAGGGAAGGCCAGTCACCCAGGGAGGGCTACCAGGCTCTGCCTAGCCAGGAGGAGAGAGAGCATATCATTACTCACCGAAATTACAGATGCAAATGCCAGCAGAGTGTGTGGCAAGCAGAGCTGCTAGGGAAACTTGCACCCAACAAGCTTGTGTGAGTTACCCCACGCCCCTCTTAGACAGGTGGGAGAGGATGGAGCAGACACAAGAGAAACCAACCAACTATTGTCAAAGTCTGACTTACTAAAAAAGCTGTTTACATTTCTTAGATAAGACAATATTTTTTCCCACTCTTCTTTGGGTGATGTTTGTGAGAAAGACTAGAATAGCTATAGAAAGAAATTAAGACACTATATTTTCTCTGACATCTGAGGACAGTAGGAGCAAAATTTGTGACCCCACTATACCCTTTTAAAGTAACTTATTTTTAAGGAACTAAACAGAAAAATACCCCATTGCAGTTTTTGCTGGAACTTGGCATGAGCTAGTGTGGATTTTGGCATATGCCAAATATATAGTTATAGGCCCCATCTAAAAGGTATTTAGTTAAAGGTGTGAGACTGTAATCGATTAAATATTTTCCCCTACATTCATACCTTTTGTCGCATGACTTTGCAGTTACTTCCACGGAAAAGGTAGTGGGGACTTTTCCCACCCATGGCTTTCCGCTTGACTATGTGACTTGCTTTGACCAAAGACATGTTAGTAGGGACTTGACAAGTGGTCACATATTGAGGCTTGTTCTCTTATTCTTATAACACCAAGAGATGAACAGGCCTTGGCCAACTTTCTGGTGCCAGGAGAAGATGAGCACTGCAAAGAGCAGAGCAAACTTTGTTCAACCTGCAATGTGAGACAGATGACCTGCAACATCAGCAGTCCCAGCTGACTCATAAACACATGAGCAAGAAATAAGTTTGTTGGCGTATGCCACTGGGATGTCAAGGTTGTTACACAGCTATAGCTGACTGATACAAAGACAGACTGTAATGGGATTTGATCATACATGTGACTTATTCTATCAACACAGACCCCAAACACAACACTAGAAACTAGTGTATATTTCCCTGTACCTCTGACCAGCACAGTTGACACTGTTGATATAGGGAAATAAATGATACATCTAAATAATGGAAAAAGAATACAAATAAGATTTCTTTGCTCCTTCACCACCACCACAATAAAAATAAATCTGTGACAGGATCTTTTATGAATACTTCACCAAAGAACAAATGAACACAGGAAGAACAGCTATCTGAACTTCAAGTTCTTCCAAATGAAGACTGCTGTTTGGGGGAGGCTGGTAGCTCAATAAAACCTCATCATATAAACCCACTTTGCAGACTCTTCCTGACTTGCTGATGATATGTGGTCTGGTCCAAAAATGAAGGCAAAGAAACAAGCATTAATTTTTAACATTTAAGACTCATTTTTTAAAGGCTAAAGAACTGAAAAACCCTACACTTTTAATTTCTTTCTCTATTTAATAAAGCTTGATATGGGAACATTTTCTAAGTAAGAATAAAAGGCATTAAATTATTAATGCTTAAAATTAATCATTAAATTTATTCTTTTCCATGAGGGTGGTAGCAACCTTGCATCATCATGTTCTGAAATGTCTTTTCCAAATCTTAATATATGATTGTAATAAGTTCAAATACAAGCATGAAAACAAGTAATTAGTACATTTAGATAATAACCCAACCAGATTGAATTTGAGATTGCCTTTGGCTCAAAACTGTTTCAGAAACAAAAAAAAGAGGGGGAGATTTTAAATTCCAAAAGAATTAGAAATTCAAGGTCAGTGGTCCCTTATTGAAATCTGTTTCAAAGCTATTGAATCTCAGCAAGTCACTGATTAAAGTCCACAGTTTCATTTCTAATCAACAGAGGCTAAATCTATACTGACCACCACTATCTTATAACGTCTCTACAAGATTTTTTCCTACCTTGTCAGAAAGAAATTATTCATTCTTTATTCATTCAGCAAATATTTATGGATTGTTTTTGTCATGCCACCAGTTCTTCTAAGCCCTGGAAATGCTAATAAGAACAGTGCACATTTCTGTCCTCAAAAAGCTCACAGCTAGTGGCGGGGCCAAATAAGGGAACCAGCAAGCACAAGAGAACACCAGCGGATCGTAAACTATCAGCACCAGATGAAGCGAGCAAGCCCAGCCAGCAGGCTCAGGAGAGGCCATCCAGAGAACTGACACACTGGAACTCAGGCCTGAAGGACAGATGGCAGATCGCCCAAAAGGAGAGGGCATTCCAGGGAAAGGGAACATCGTGTCCAAAGGCAAGGCAAGGAGAGCTTGGAGTATCTGGGGAATGACAAGTATTTCAATGCGTATGTACTTGGCAATGAGGAAGCAGATGAGGTTGGAAAACCATGCAGGCCAAGTCAGAAAAGACTTCCCATGCACAAGAACAACATCCCAAAACCTGACTTTTGAAAGAGGTGAAAGACCATACTGGAGCCAATAAAGAACAGCATTTAGCCATGACTCTGCAAATCTACATTTAAGGTCATGGCTCCCTAGTACTGTTACCCTAAAAAAATACATTGTAGTCTTCAACTCAGAAAAGAAAAAAATTAAATTAAATTAAAAAATACATTTATGTCAATATTCAGAAGGAAATGTTGGAGATGTTATTCTGGACAACGTGATTCCATCAACTGGTTCTCATTAGACCAACACCTTCCTTGTACACAGGGATGGACCTTTCAGGAATAAGGATCCAGCTTTTCCCAAAGAATAATAAAAAATCACACTCATTCACTATGGACAAAGGGAAGAGTCATGTGGCACCAACCTAAAGGGGAAGAGTGTGGAGAAAGGGGAAGCCATGGCTTTTGGGGTGGGCATATATGTTAACAAGTGTCCTCAAGGTTATAAAACTAGCAAGTTGCAAAGCCAAGAAAGCCAGGTCTCCTGTCCAAACCGAACGCTCTTCTACTTATCTTCTTCTTGCTAAAGAAGCAGTCGATGTAACCAGCATCGCTGAATATTCTCTGGCTTCAAGTCAGTCAACATAAGATCAAGTTCCAGTCCTGCCACTTGTAAGCTTCCTTGTTGTTAGAAACTTCCATGGGACTCAGCCTCTTCTCCGATAAAATGAAGGGGGTTGGACCCAGATCTACGCTCGCGACACCACTTGCCTGGAGCATCCACAAATGTCTGGTTTAGCCGTTAGGTATTATCACCTCTGACTGTGGACACGTTTGCCTCCCACTCCTGCTCCTTGAGGGATATAAGAGAGGAAACTTCGATCGCACCGGGATGGATGATGGGCGGCCAGACCAGAAAGGTCGTGCACTTACGGGCATGTGGTGGCAGCACCCTCAGCTGTTAGAGTTCCACATAGGCTTCACCAGGAAAAAAAGAGTCCATTGTCTAAAGAGGAAGGAAAAATAAACAAGTATGTCAGCCACTGGCATATATGAGCTCTAAGATTACTTCTAGCTAAAAATAGTTAACCTTACTTATTGGGATGACAAAGGAAAATTAGATGATGGTCGAATATGAGCTAACTGTTACTGAGTGCTAATGTGCCTGGCACTACGCTAAGGGCTTCGTGTGTATGAATTTATTTTAGCTTCACAATAGTCCTGGAGGTGGCTACTGTATCCATTCTACAGATGAGAAAACAAGGGTGCAGAGAAATTTAATCAATTGCCCAAGATAACTCAGTTTATAAGGATGGGAACTGAGATTTGAACCCAAGTAGTCTCACTCCCATCAGGATACACTACATGTGGCCCTCACAGTTTACTCAGGTGACCATAGGATCCTAAAGAAAATGTGTTACATTTGTATTTACCATGCACACTCTCAAGTAAATGTGACTCTCTAGAACCCTAGAGTCAGAACACCTTAGGTTCGTTCTGATTTCTGTACTAAATCCTTTTCCAATCCATAACCTGGAATTATCTTCCATGGAGAAACAAGATAAGTTTTTTAATTTATTCACACAGATAGTTCCTCCACTGATCAACAGCCCAAGCACATATAATGACGACATTTGAACAATCCGGATGCATAAAGCACCATGATAGCTGCAGGTCACAGATCATATCACTGAGCCGCCCAGGACTCGCATGAAGGAGGTCCCAGTAACAGAGCTCTTTGGTTGAAAGTAAGAAACACCAACTCAGCTTCACAGAACCCAAGAGAAGGAAACCAGCAGAGCCTCTGGAAACAGTGACAGCCAGAAAGTAGGAGAAAGTCTCAGCTCTAGTCTCTGCTGCTTCTCCAGAAAGGAAAGGGGCGGTGGGCAGGGCGAGAGGCTTGTGCGAAGGCACAACAGCACATGAGAACTTAGGAGCTCAGTTCTAGCTGATTAAAGAGTAAGCTGGTGAGATCAGCAGGACAAAGTATGAAGGACTTTATAATTCATAATCAACAAATTGTAATTTAATTTAACAATTTATAAATTATAATTAATAACCGTGGACTGTAGTTTTAAGCATGATTTTGACATAATGAAAGATTTTGGAAGGTTTCTACCTAAGCATGCATACACACGTGCACCTACACGCATGCGCACACACGTGCACATAAGTAAATAATCAATAACAGTTTTTTACAACTACCTCTGTGCCAGGCACTGTTCCAAGTGCTATTCATGATTGCTTATTTAATCTTCATAACCAACCTATGAGGTGATCACAGTAATCTTCTTAATCGCCGTTGTCTCAGTTCAGGCTTATAACAAAATACCTTAGGCTGAGTAATTTATAAACAACAGAAATGTATTGCTCACAGGTCTGCAGTCTAGGAAGTCCAAGATCCAGGCGCCAGGAGATTCGGCGTCTGGTGAGGCCTGCTCTCCACCCCACAGATGGCGCCTTCTTGCTGTATCCTCAAATGGCAGAAAAGAGGGACAAGCTCCCTGAGGCCCCTTTCATAAGGACACTAATCCCATTCAAGAGGTGGGAGCCGTCACAACCTAATCGTTCGTGAAATCTTCACCTCTTAATACCACCACATTGGGGATTAAGTTTCAACATATGAATTTTGTGCAGACATGAATATTCAGATCATTGCACCCATTTTACAGGTGAGAAGAAAAAAACAATGGCTCAGCGTAGTTAATAACTTGCACAGGACCACACAATTACCGCAGAGTGGAGCTCAGATTCCAACCAAGGCAGTCTGATACCAGAGTTTCACGCCTAATTACCGCTTCACTTGAATGAGGAAATGAAAATGGTAGAACATTTTCATGTAGGCAGTGTGGCAGATCATACTTTGTACAGAGCATGGGAACAGCAATCCGGGGGAAGGGAGGCTGGGGGTGAGGGGAGGGCAAGGGGAGTCTACAAGCAGAACCGGGAGGTGGGGCTGGGAACCTCCTATGCATGTGGACAAGGGCATGGGTGGAGCCAGTGTGTGGCTGTTCAGAGCTTTAGAGTCATTAACCTGGGCTGGAAGTCCTGCTCTGTCACCTACTGGGTATACGATAGTGGCAAGTTACATAGCCTGGTATCAGATTCCTCATCCATGAAATAGAGATAACACTTCCATGGGTTGTCCTGGGAATGAAATAAAAACCGTATTTACAGCAACTAGCACAACTAGCTGTCACATCTCACTCCACCAATGATAGTTTCCATTATATTAAAACACGACATCGGGCTGAACATCTGTATTCCTCCTCTTGTGGACGGTAATGAGCCAGAGGATAATAGGAGGTAACCTAATGGTCAGCAGGAGAGCAATGGCTATGTAAATTATATTATGCCAAAATCAATGGATTATTATATTAGGAAGCTACTTTAAAGGGTAAATATGAAGGGCATAACAATATTTTAAATGATTAGTTTAAAAAAACCACAAAATTCTAGATGTACTCTAATTGTAATTATGTAAACATGGGCTGCACTGAAAAGACACATGGAAAACTAAAAATAGAGTAATATAATAGATTTTTTTTAATATCATATGGTGCTCAACATCATCAGTTATTATGGAAATATAAATGAAAACCACAGTGAGATACCACTATACATCCACTGGGACACCTAAAATTAAAGGACAGATAAAACCAAGTGTTGACAAGGATGAGGAGCAACTGGGACTCTCATACATTGCTGTGGAAGCAAAAACCCTTCTACCAGTTTGGAAACCTTTTGGCAGTATCTGCTAGGCTAAACGGAGTTATGTCCTGTGACATGGAATTTCCAGTTGTGGGTATAACCCCAACAGAAATAAGTGTTTATCTTTACTGAAGGATAAGTATAAGAACACCCATAGAAGCATTACTCAAAATAGTCCCCAAACCAGAAACAGCCCAAGTGTCTATCTACAGAAGAATGGATAAATAAATGTAGTGAATTCATGCAATAGAATACTACACGGTAATATGAAAGAACAAATTACTACTACACATGAGGAGGAATCTCACAGACATAATTCTGAGCAAAGAAGCCAAACACAAAAGGGTTCCACTTACATAAAGTTCAAAACAGGCAAAAGTAATCTATGGGGATAGGGAGAAGCCAGAGAAGTGGGTTTTTACAAGAGAGTATCGACTTAGAGAAAACATGAGCTTTCTGGGGTGCTGGAAGGATTCCCAATGTAATCTCAGTGGTGGTTACACAGGTGTATACAATTCACTGAACCAACAACTTAAGTAAGACTTACGTACTTTGGTATACATAAGTCAACACCTCAATTAGAAAACATAAAATTGTTAATATTATTATCATAAAGTGTTTTAAAAATTCCAATCATGCAAAATTTAAGGTAAAATGTGATTGACTTTCTCTCCCGTGCTGCTTCTCTTGAAGTTTTTAGCTTGGAGAATTACCTGATGTACTCAGTTGCGGATACACTTCTGAAACAAAAACAGTTGGACATTTAAAAATATTATGCAAAGCATGATGCAGTAACATCTATTTTTGATGTATCTTTTTTTTTAATTTTGTTTTGTAACATTGAACAATCTTTTCCTCTCTAGATCCCTCTGAGCTGTAGTTTGTCCACTTACAAAAAGTTTGAGAATTTTCCATGCCTCATTTGTGATGTAAGAATTTATGAACAAAACCCTGCTGGCACTTAAAAATGTTGGGTACTCTGGGGATATTTTGAATACTTGATATGGTATTCCAGCCCAGACAAGCCTATGCAATAGATGTGTCTGTGGGATCCTTTATATTTAACCAAATCCATTTTCTTGCACACATTTCTCCTTATTTAACCTCTATCTTTTGAATATATAGTATATTGAAACATAAATTCTTAAAATAAAAGTTTCTAACAATTTGGTTCAAGACACTGATATACCTTTCATGGTTTCTTGACCTGAAGCTTCATTCCTGAAATGAAAAATATGTCACATGGCATTTTAGTCTGTTTGGACTGCTATAACAAATGCCCTAAACTGGATGGCTTATGAACAACAGTTGTTCACAATTCAGGAGGCTGTGAAGTCTAAGATCAAGGCACCAGCAGATTTGGTCCTGGTGAGGACCTGTTTACTGGTTCATAGATGGTCCCTTCTCTCTGCATCCTCACATGGTAGAAGGAACAAGCTATCTCTTTAGGGCCTCTAAGGGCACTGATCGCATTTATAGTCTCCAACCACATGACCTAATCACCTCCCAACAACCCCACTTCCTAATTCCATCACCTTGGGGGTTAGGATTTCAACATTTGATTTTGGGGGACTCGAACATTCAGACTATAGCAAATGGAGTTTCAAAGGGACACATCAAACTTCAAATTGTAGATTATCTGTGCAGTTTATTTTTATTTTTATTATATTCCCTATTCTGTTGATAAAAGCCATTTTAACTGGGGTTAGATGATACCTCCTTATGGTTTGATTTGCTTTTCTCTAATGATTAGTGATACTGAGCATTTTTTCATATATCTGTTGTCCATTTGTACATCTTCTTTTGGAAAATAGCTATTCAGATATTTTGCCCATTTTTTAATTGGATTATTTGGATTTTTGCTATTGAGTTGTTTGAGCTCCTTATATTTTTCTGGTTATTAGTCCCTTATCTGATGGATAGTTTGCAAATATTTTCTCTCTTTTTTTTGGTTGTCTTTTCACTTTGTTGATTATTTGCTTGGCTGTACAGAAGCTTTCTAGCTTGGTGTAATCCCACTTGTCTATTTTTGCTTTGGGTGCCTGTGCTTTTGGTATCATACACACAAAATCTTTGCCCAAACCAATGTCATAGAGCATTTCCCCAATGTTTTCTTCTAGTAATTTCATAATTTCAGGTCTTAGATCTAAGTCTTTAACCCATTTTTATTTAATTTTTGTCTATGTTGAGAGATAGAGATCTAGTTTCATTCTTCTACATGTGGTTATCCAGTTTTCCCAATACCATTTATTGAAGAGACTGTCCTTTCCTCATTGTATATTCTTGATGCCTTTA